CTTCAGGCAAGATATTTAGCATGGAAGCCAAGTATAAACAAACAATGCCGTTAGAATAAATTTTAGGGCACTTTTCAATGTTTGGCTGGCCTACAAAGGAACGCTACTTCATGATGTATCAAAATTATAAGTAATTATATGTAGTTCGAAACTGAGCTACTAATATACTTTTATATATATAAATATACACACACATATATATATATGCACTAATATGCAGGTTACATTGTTTTAGTATACAAAATATGAGTGCGTCTCTTGTGATTCACATAACAGTGCCATTATTACTAGAGGGCGACTAAATTCTCAATTAAATATAATTGCATTCTCTTATATCAACAAAAATTCAAGTTCGTCCCTTGATCAATAAGTGGAAAATATTTTTTAAAGATAATTAAACAATGCCTAATAAAATCATCTAATATTGTTGTATTACAAAAACGTCAACAATCCATACTTCTATAGATGCACAAGATTATTAAAAATAACTCTCCTAAATATTACAGCTTTTAGACATAGAGTCAAAATAGGGATTTGTAGCTTGGGGAAGTAATGTCAACATTATGTATCAAACCTTAAGCTTGTTTGTTTACCTTTTTGCTATTGCATTTTCACTTTAAGCTACTTATCTTTTGTAATTTGATGAATATCACTATTTCCCCCCTTTTTAAAGTAACAAATTTTAATAATCTTATTTCATTAGTTGTTGTTTTTTTATTTCCATCATGGACATAAATCTGTATAATAGCAGTACTATCTTGTTTGAAACAATTTAGTTTAATAAACTTCGTAGTTGGTGTATGATGCTCTCTCTCTCAGGAAACAATGACAACTTTTGGATTGGCTTCATGCAGATTGGACAGCTATTGCTCCTGATAGCAATGCCACAATGTTATCATTGATAGTGGTACTGTATGTATGAGTAATATGATGTATGGTGATCAACATACCACATGTTATGTATATGCTTATAAAATATATATAGCTACTATATTTATACTCTGTAGCTATATGGGGAGTTTGTAAATAATGGATTGGAGAGACTACTGATCTATACTGGAATGGTGCATGGACTGGATGTTGTAACCGCATGAGTTTTATACATGCATACTGGCAAGTATTTCTATCTATCTATCTATCTACATGTAGGCTTTATAGTTTTTTTTAAGCAGTAAAGCCGTACATGTATATAGGCATATGAATTTAATTAACAATATTAATTAACAATAATAAATTGGTTATATTAATATACACTTTTCTACTTCATTTCTGATGGAGTTTGGTTCATGACACTTCTACGACCTTCTTCCATGTGACGATCCCAAACAAAATTTCTGCCTCACGTTCGCCTAGAATCACTATTATTTTCGCTATCTCCTGCTTACACGATTTTTGCCACTCCTTATGGTCAGCTTCAAGGATGGCTACTCTATCTGCAGTATCTATAAAAATCGCAAGCATTCAGTGTTGGTTATGATTCGGCACTTACCATCAGCCATCACTGTGATTGCCGATCCGATGCTCTGAACTGAGCTTGGTGTTATCTTTTAAACGATTGCTAAGAGATTTGTGTTGTGAGGGACAGTCTAGACATTTGTGTTGTTACGTCTCTGGTCGTTAGTTAATTTTCCGTAAAAATTCTTTCCGAAGAAACTTTAGCGATATAACTCCTTTCTTAAATAAAACTGGTTTATTCTTTCTGAATACAACTTTGCAATACACTTAATTTACACAGTCGCGCTATACGCTATAATTCACAACGAACGTCTCACGTGCTCGACTCAACTGTCCGTGTCTATCTCTGTCTGTAGTTCAATTACCCATCGTCGCCGTCACTTCTTGGCGGCTTATATATACAAGAATACCACATATCTAGTAACCTCTCGAGGCTTCAGGAAGGGACGTAAACGTTCGAGAATATGACGTGTTACTAGCGTCACGTGACCCCTGCTGTCTTAACACTGCCCCTTCCTTAGTACTGTTCGTCCCGAACAATAGCCACTTACATTAAACCAATAACCAATTAACAATAACTTAATAAAATGTACAAAATTTACAAACACAAAATTAAAATCCAACAAAGTTTCTTAATTTTAAGGGACGTATCTTCTTCCGTACTGGTCTCCGTCTCGTTGGCTTCTGCTTCATGTGGGGTTCATCTGCTTCATCAGGAAACGTCATATCATTGGTAACAGTCACATCAGTGGTAGTAACTTCATTAAGGGCTTCACTGTTTCTCTTCTCAAAATCGAGTCGAGTTTCTTCTTCGACAGTAGCTTTTTCAGGTGACACGTCTTCAGGAGCGTCATTTGTTCTGTTGTCCACTTCGACCCAACTGAAATGTCCTGGACCGTGATAACGCCAAAGCCTGTTGGCATGCATCACTTTTGGCTTACCTCGCTGACCACATTTTACCCGGAAAGTCACGTCTGAGAGACGATCCACTATGTCATATGGACCTTCCCATGGAGAAGACAACTTAGGAGACTTCTTTTTGGTC